AGAGAGAGAGAGAGAGAGAGAGAGAGAGAGAGAGAGAGAGAGAGAGAACTTTCTCAGCAAAGGACTGAGGCGTGGCCACCATGTAAAGCACAACACCGCGTCTGCACTGCTTCGTGCTATTCACTACGCACTGTGGTACACACCTGTACTATGTGGCGATTCGCGAGTCTCGAGCGCAAGGGCCTGGAGATTGACACAGAGAGAGAGAGACAGAGACAGAGACAGAGACATGAGGGCACGGATCATCCTTGAATTCCCGAAGAATGCCCCCCTTTTATTGTGTTCCAGGGCAGCTTATATAGGGCTTCTTAACTGCTAGCCATGCCCCAACCAAACCCACCAGAAACCACTCCCCTGCCATCAGGAACTCCTGAGGATCTCATGCTCCGAGCAGCTGCAAGCATTGGAAAACAAATTGTTTACAGGAAATTCAGGGTCCGGGTGTCCACAGCCGCCACACCACCACTCCTGTGGATGTAGACGGCCTGCTGGAAGAAAGACTCCGGGGTCTACCAGCATCAGCATCAGGGCCATGTGCTCCCTGAGGTCTCTGATGAATCTTGGAGTATTAGCAGGGACCTAAGCCAGAAAGGCCATCAGTGGGCAGGAGGGGGTGGTGTCTAGACCTGGGGTCGTAGCACACTGACTGGCAGATCTGAGGTCCAAAGGTCATTGCTGTGGGAATTTCCCATTTCTGCAAACAGTTCCCAGCTGGGACTGTCCTCAAATCACCTGAACTGGGAAGAAGGAACTCCCATTGCCACCAAGTCGCCAGTCTCTCCGTGGTCCTTCTCTGTCCTCTAAGCTGCAGAGCCCAGAGGAGTCTCCTGCTCATCCCCAACACCTCACACAGGAGAAACTTAGACCGGAGATGAGGCCACTCAAGGTCTGGGCATGGATCTGGGCATGATGGGAACACACCGTTCTGGCCAGGTTCAGTGGAAGCAGAGGCTCCCTGGGGACCCTTGGGACATGCCTATAAACTCTGTCCTGCTCCCAGCATCTGTCCCTGTCACTGGAACAACTCCTCTTATCCTAGTGCTGGTCATGGCATATCACCTCCTCAGACAGGCCTTTCTTTCTTTCTTCCTTTCTTTCTTTCTTCCTTCCTTTCTTTCTTTCTTTCTTTTTCTTTCTTTCTTTCTTTCTTTCTTTTTTTTATTTTAAAAATATTTATTAAGTATACAATATTCTGTTTACGTGCA